GGTCCGGCTCCAAACAGCAGCAATACAACAGTATGGGACTTTCAGACTCGTGCAGGCTCTGATAGCAGCAAAGTAATCTGCCTTTTGAAGGATCTGCAATTTAACTAACAACCCTGCTGAGCTACAGACAGTCTGTGCCTTCCTTTCCACATATACAATATCCTTACCTGCAAACTAGATAAGCCATACATAGCAGATTCGCTGCACATCGATGACTCTGATAATTACAGCTTATTTATGGCATGTTTATTACATGTAGAAAGGAAAAGAGCCACAGCAAATCCAAACAGCCATTACTTCAGCAGTTATTATGCATGCAGTTACGCTGCAGAAAATTGAATTTTACCACAGTAAAGATGTGCTTCTTAATAAAACGTCAAGCAATCATATGAATTACAATAGAGCATATTCCACGTAGCAGCTTCTTCTCACAGTAATTAGCTATGAAATATCCTTTAATTGCTCACTTTGAAACATGGCTCCCCCTACTTTTTTTTCAAAGAAGGAAAAGAAAGCAATTAAAATCTTTAATCAGTGCCTGCTGCCTGCCCCCTAATTCATGGGCATTCTAATGTTCAACTTGTGTCTTTTCATAATAGACATAATTGCCAGATCCACTGCAACCCATCTATACAGAACGGCAGCGTTTTACACAGTGTACTGTAATAATGTAATTGGTGTGATTCAATACTAGCATTAAGAGAGAAAAACAAATGCTATGTGTGTAAGATTGACAACAAGCTTCTGAAATCCTGCAATTGATGCCTCTACTGCTAAAAGCTGGGAAACATTTAGCCCATGTCCTTTGGATCTCCATTCTGCCTGCTCTGCCAACAAAATGAATGAATTCTTCGCAATGGCAAGGACTCATTCACTTCGAAAAGGTTACCAACTCGTCACCCAAGTTATTGATGATCTCTACACAGCACTTAAGAGGTTCTCCTCACTAGCATATATAAAGAAAATATCCTGGGTTGACTGCAAAGCTGCTGTGAAAGTGGGAAGCAGGTGGAACAGGGAGGAAATACCATACTCCAGCCACTCCCCAAACTGCTCTTAGAGAAACCAAAACTGGCTTCATTTCAGACCAGAAGGACAGTGAACAAAAACTCACGGCCTTGTGAACTATCTGGCATCTGTATCGTTTCTGGTAGGCAACGGATCACAAGTTACTGGTATCCCATTCACATGTCTCGGCAAAATAGCCGATTATTATTGGTTATCAAATATGACAATATAGATATATCTTATCTCTCACCAGGCACATTTTAACATCCTGTACTGTAGCAGAACTAATTCTAGAAACATCACAGAAAACAAGACAGACATAACCCTCC